AGAATAACCCAGTTTAGCCTGAGTTTTTGTTTTTGCTTAAGTAACAGGAAAGGAGATTAAACTTTGGGGAGAAGGGGAGAATAATGAACCAGAACAGCGTTAACTCATATATGTAAAATGGAATAGAAGCTGCATCGGAAAGATCTGTAACTTTCATTTCAACCTTTGCATCCAAATAATCTTCTATCCCTCCCCCTTTTTTTAAAAAAACAAACACAGATGCACAGGCCCAGCCTGGATTGTAACAAACAGCTGAGCAAGTGTCTTCGTTGGGCGGATGCAGTCGTAATCGTCTTTTCGATCACCGACCATAAAAGTTACGAACTCCTTGGCCATTTCCACCAGCATATACGGCAGGTGCATCCCGGAAATAGAGTGCCCGTAGTGATTGTGGCCAACAAAGCAGACCTGCTCCATATTAAAGAGGTGGAACCTCAGCATGGACTTCAGCTGGCCAGCATGCTGGGCTGCAATTTCTACGAAGTCTCCGTCAGTGAGAACTACAAAGAGGTCTTCTGTGCCTTCCAGAGCTTATGCAAAGAAGTCAGTAAGCAACAACCCACCGGCACCCCAGAGAAGCGGAGGAGTTCTCTCATCTCAAGGCCCAAGTCACCCAACATGCAAGACCTGAAGAGAAGGTTTAAGCAAGCTTTGTCGGCCAAAGTGAGAACCGTTACCTCTGTCTGAAAAGTTGGTTGACCTGGATGGGAAAAGGGTCCATTCTCGGCGAAGAGTCCATTGGTTCCAATTTGGGAACATTTTGCTGGCCCCAAGGCAACCAAGCAAGATCAAAGAGAAGGGAGAGAGAGAGAAAGTGTATGTGTTTGGGCGATACTGGACTTGGGAGTATAGAGCATTATGCAAAGGAGAAACTCCACCAAAACTTGAATAAAGAAGGGACACATCGCATATTTTCATGCTGAAAGCAGGACATTTTAATGCATTCAAAACATTGCCATATTTTGTGATGGAGGTCAGGATAGCTTAGTATTTGCTATCCTGGTTACGTTAATTGTAGAAGATGGGGTGAAATACTCAGAATGCCATCTTCTTTCATTGGAAACAGATATCCTTATGCTATGAATTAGGGCTGGTTTCTTTCATAAATCCCCCTACAGACTTTTGATTATTATTTTTTAACTCCAGTTCATGAGGTACAACAGAGCAGGAACAGTCTTTGGTGTAAAATTTTTGGGCATTATTAAGGGATTAGCTTTGATTGTGATGAGACATAAGCTGTGCTGCAAAATACTCAGTGTAATTTTTTACAACTACATAATCTCAAGATTTTAAGATATTCTGAAGACTGTTGGTCATCTGATGCCGTGTTGAATTTCTTTCCAGATAAATCCAAATTAACTCATCTAAATATGGATTGAAAGTCATACTATTTCAGCTCATGTCACTTCTTTTCTAGGTGTGGGAGCAAGTCCTTCATAGCTGAGCAGTTAAGTTAGAGGCAGAAGGGACATTCCACTGTTATATCAACCTGCTTTTCGTGATTTAACAAGCCAAATGCTGGACCACGAGGCTTGTCCCATAAAGCAGAACAAGTTTAAAATAAGACATGCATAAGTATAACATTGATGCGGTTTAACAAAAAAAGCAATACCGTGCCATTCCCCTTACACAGTAACTTATTTATTTCATGTTTCAGAAACATTACCAGGCTACAATTTCTTTCTTTTGTGTCATCATTAAATTAAACAATGTTTTCTCAAGAATTTGTTGTATTTTTCTAACCAGTTGCTAGGCAAAGTACATAGGAAAAAAACAATCAGTTTGTGTTAGTAAGATTTCTACTGCCTGTGAAGCAAGGGGGAAAAAAATGTGAAGGTGTGAAACAAACCATACAGTGGCACAGGTCTACTGATTTTTGAGAATGCTACACACCCATCAGCAACTCTCTTGCAAATATAAGAGTTCTCTACCACAACAGTTGTGTAGCTGCTATGCAAAGCTACCTGCTTCTCAAATGCTTTTCTAACTACATGGTGGCCACTCCCATTGTTTAAGAGCTTCTGCTAAAAACCCTGTGGGCATTACCACTTGGCCACAACTCCCCAAAAAGTCTACCTGGCACAACATATCAAAACCACCAAAGCATCTTCAGCAGTTGTGGTACCAAGGAGAGGCTCTGTTTCCATTGTGCCGCAAGAGTTACAACTCGACTCAGAAGCATCCGTGTGTGTAAGAAATAAGGCAAGATTAGCAGGCATGACTACCTGGGCAAAGTCTCATATTTAAGCATTCCTTGCATGTCTGATGGAATAAGGTGTCCATTTTGGTTTTTCTGGCACCTTCCCCTACTATAGACAGTTCTGATCTAGAGGTTAAATCTATTCTCTACTGATAAAGAAAGGCAATTAAAAGATTGTAAAAAGCAACACTCTGGAATTTTGCATGAACGGAGTGCAGGGTAACCCTACAAAAAGTCCTATATAATTCAGCTCTCCCGTAGTCCCCATTTTCAGCCCGTGTTCCAATTAAGTTGCGTATATGACGAGAGCCGGCCCATACCGGAATCCTTCCATTTAATAGAGAATTTAGCCTATTAGTTCAATATGACAGATCTGGCCTGGTAACCATGGGGACTGTATTTACCCTTTTCTCTCTCAGCACTTCCATTAAGTAGTTTTATCGCTCATGCTGGCTTGCCAGCTCATCCACAGATTATAAGCATAAGTAAATGCTCAGAAGTTTGCCCTTTTCCCTGTGAGGCGTGATTCACAAAGTAGTCGTCTTCTGTTTGCTGAAACCTCAGGCTGCAGCCCAATTTCAATCGTCTTCAATGGGGGCTGTGAACAGTCTTAAAAAGGGGGCTGTTTTTGCACCGGCTTGACTGCAGCATCCGTTCCCTTGAAACACGCGATCGGACCAAACTGCTGGATTTGGTTCCATTGAAGAAGGCAGCATCTGGCTATATTCTACTGCTACAAAATATAATCGGAAGCCAAGTCAACTGAGCGATAGCAATATGAAAAGAAAACCATGTCACAAATCGGCTTGGCAATAATTAGGCGTTGATTCCTTATCTTAAATCATGCTACCTTTTATTATTGAGAAAATAAACTGCAAGGAAAAAACACTAGCCAGACTCTTTGCTTTGAACTTGTAAACACACACACA